GAGTCTTAGATGTGATCACTTAATCCTGAACTATATACCGTATACTTAGTTAATGCAGCACGAAGAATAACAGGTTTTATACACGTCTCATGAATACAGCAGAAAATGTGAATTTCATGCCACAACAAATTGAAAACAGTATCAATTACATTTGTGTCTAAAATAATGCAATTAAACAAAATAATTAGTCTAAATTAAGCAACGTCACGAAATGCTCTTTGGCCTATCTGAACACAAATTAGGACCTTAAATTGCAAAAAAAGATAACTATTGTATAATGTTTTATTTCTATTTCCTTTGATCAGAACTAAATATCCATTCGTCATTGAAATAATTGATGCAAAATCTCGAGCTGGGAAGACATAAAGAAAGTAATTTTTGTATCGCGAAGTAAACGACGATTTTATATCTAGTTTTATGATACATTCGACACAAATATGTTCGAATGAGTGTACGCTCAAACTTTCTTTCAATGAATTATTTATGCGGTATGCCCGAATGAAAGTGAATCCCCGCGTGCCTTAACCCCGCCCACTTTCCATTTCATTTAATATCTTTTTCATTAAGATTGCTATGCGATTTGTCAGACAAGCTTTCACATAAAAGATTTTGGTTTATTGTAATGAAATGCAGAACGAACATGGTCGCTTTTCAATATGAATACATGAAGTGTGGCACAGTAGTAAAGTCCTTAGGATCTTGGGTTCGAGCCCGACAAGGAGTCAGATCCCCGATTCCCAATACCACAGCAGGGTCCGAGGTTATAAAGAAATTCTCATAGCTCAAACTCAGATCTCAGTTATTTGATTGGTCAGAAACTGCCACACAATGTACACTGACCAATGAAAATCCTGAGATTTGAGACAGAACTCATAAAAAAGTTTTATAACTGGTTATTTCCGGGAAGCGGACTCGAAAGTACATGTAGTTCATAAAAGCTTCATTTCTTCACCATGCGGTATAGAGAAAAAAATGCGCCACTCCTTCTTTTAAACTTTACCAATTATAGGGACCAAAACCTTAAAATTAAGTATTAATGACAATTTTGTAACATGCCGGTTTTAATTTTTTAACACATTTACGTATGAAATAAATGAGTCTGTGACATGGTATGTAATGGTTGTACCTAAAATGGAATTATACTATCACTTTTAACTTTGAAGAGTGTTATTGCTGATACGTTTGGTAATATAATTGCTACTTCTATGGATTACTCCTAGTCACAAAAGTCCATGAATTATCATTTTAAGAAATGCTAAGTTAAGACAGTAATATATGAGTTCATTATATTACAATGAGATACTGGGAGTTTCTACTGATTATGTATAATAAATAAATTATGTGGTAATTATGAAGCTTTATGCAACATTTTAATAGTTTTTTAGTTGTTTTATTGATATTGTTGTTGTAAATATAAAAGTAGAGAAAATAAGGCTTTGTTTTCAGATTGTCAACGACCGCTTCATTTTACAAATCAATTTTTCCTCTCTCGAAGTAAGTGATTTTTTTCATTAAAGTATTGAAAGCAATATAATTATGTCATATGATGACTGAGCTGTAAATAGACGCAACAATGTAATTTCCTGACATTTTATTTTCTGAAACATAAGTAATGAAGGACATCAACTTATACAGTGAAATCAAACTATCTTTATCTACTTCAGAGTAAAAAATGAGCCGCGTCATGACAAAACCAACATAATGCGTTTGCGACCAGCATGGATCCAGACCAGCCTGCGCATCCGCGCAGTCTGATCGGGATCCATACTGTTCGCAATCAGTTTCTCTACTTGATGCGCAGGCTGGTCTGGATCCATGCTGGTCGCAAACCCATTATGTTGGTTTTGTCGTGACGCGGCTCAAATGCCTTAAGATCTGTATAATAGCATCTGATTTAATGCACTATTTCAATTTTATCGCAAACGTTGATACATCCATGTGAAAAAATATCAAACTTGAAGCACCGTCTCTAACCTATATGAATACTTTAGTACTCACTTATTTAAAAACGTACACATTAAAGCATTTCAGTTAAATGTACTATCATTTCTAAATACAAGTAAGTATACTTTAGCGTTACTAACGCGTTACAGGTTTTTTTTCTAAACGAATGTTCTTAAGAAAATTAACCGCAACTACATTTTCAATTAAACCTTCTAACATTAATGACCTTCCAAAAGTTTAATATGAATCCTAGGAGCGTGGCCCTTTAAATAAACTTGTTCAATTAAAGTTATTTTGTTAGCATTTTGAGGAGTATAAACAATAATAGATTGTAATTTGTTCGACATACGTTTCTAAATGGTTGATGAGTATTTTGACATGACTGATTTTAAGATAAATGAAGATTTTGAAATAAAAGCAGCAAAAGGTAAAGATTTAAATTTTACTTACAGAATATTTCTTGGAAAAAAAAATTTAATATTTCCTGCGATATAAGGACACTGCAGATGAAGAGAACGCCGGACGCTACAATAACGCCGAGATGAAAACAAAAGCTTGTAGCCATGTACGTACGTCTGTAAATATACATTTTTATGACGAACCAACAGTAATAAACGTATAAAACAACTATCAAATCAAGCCATTATAGCTTTCAAGTCACAATATATGCACCATATACGATGTTTATTTAAATTATTTAGCATTTATTTGCTTCTTTTTACGCAAACATGTTAAAGGAATTTTTATTGCATTTAACAATAAAGCGTTTTCGTTTTACGGCATTGAGAAGAAAGATACTACAATGTTTAAGGGAATAAAGCACAGAACTTCAATGGATAAATGAAATAAATTCGTTTGGAAAAATACCTAAACTTGTATTTCGTTTAATCAAGTGTTGCGTAATTTTTCATTGAACATGGACTGAACATAACTTTTATTTTTGATTTGTACATAGTACATCATCATATACAAAATAGTACATCATTATATACAAAATAATTTTCAAGTGACATGTACATTTACATGACTGTCTCGTGCGAGAACCGAGGAATTTATGTTGTACTATCCACCTCCAAAATTATCAATTATTTTGAATATCAAAACGAAAATTTAAATCCGCATGCCCCCAGATAAGTAAAAAATATTTCAAGAAAATCAAACTTGAGAAAAAGGATCTTGAGGCATGCTGCTAAACCAGACTTAACGGATGCGAAAGGCTGGCCTGGCTCTATACTGACGGCACAGGATAATAACTGCCAAGACTAGCAGGGCACGGGCTAATTAAATTAACCTCAATATATAGGTCCAGTCAATTATTTAAGCCGTGAAACTTAGGTCGTTTACAAGTTAGGGTTAAAAACGGGTTTCATTTAACGGAACAAATCTGACGACAAATTACCTTCTTAATCTTCATGTTAACAAATATTCAACTGAATGTTACTGTACCTCATTATGTAAGTGTAAGAGGGAGTGGGAAATCAAAGTATAAAGCGGGTATAGCTCAGCAAGTTGTATCTACATTCAAAGCTAAAAGTTCCTAGACTTAATAGCCATTTTCATATTTTGTTATTACAGTTCCCATGTGGCTTTGTTTGTTTGTTTTGGGTTTTACGTCACATCGACACAGTATAGGTCATATCGCGACGTTCCAGCTTTACTGGTGGAGGAAGACCTCAGGTGCCCTTCCGTGCATTATTTCAGGCACGAACGGGCACCTGAGTAGAACCACCAACGTTCCGTAAGCTAGCTGGATAGCTTCCTCACATGAAAGAATCCAAAGTCCCAGTCGGGATTCGAACCCACAGCGGTGAGGGGCAAGTGATTTGAAGCCCATGTGGCCTTAGTTTGGGTGTGACAGGTAGAACTTATTAAATTGCATTCACATATTAAGTTTCTGTGTAATAGCTGTCTAAGAAATTAATGACCATATACATGTACGAAATCATTGTATAATTGTATATACGAAAAGCCGCGTTATACTGAATGTCACATACTCAACAAGTATTTACTGTAATGGACGTGGTAGAGAAATCAGCTAATAGGGCAATGTTATGAGATCAGTTACCACTAAAAGTCTTGACCAAGGTTGCCGACTTTAAATCATTTTCCACCAGTCATTTAACAGAAAAATGACGGAGTCCCGTGACTGTCAATATATTAAAGTAGACAATTCAGGGGATTAGATCTAGTATATTTGATAAATAAACATTACTGTAAAGACCAGGTCATCTTCAAAGCTACAAGCGTTGTCAGGAATGTTGTAACATATTATGTTATGCTTATTATGAAGTACGAAATAGAAGCAATGTAAGATATAAAACTAAAGATCTTTATAGGTTGATTTTAACATTTAATACAATGATACGAAACATTTACGGCAACATTTCTCACTTACATAAATGTAATTATTTTTAAAGAAACAACTAGTGAAATAATATATTATTGGTAATTTGACATGAGCAAATGAACCCAAATAATTGGACAAGTTTTTGTCAAAAGTTTATGTAGTTAATGTTTTCAATTTTTTGCACAAATAATGATAGTCTACTGAGATTTATTTTAAAAATGATTAAAATGATTTATCAGGAACTATCCGTTAATTTTTTGATTCATTTATTGAACCTGAAATCAGATTCACGTATTAGTTTTTGCATTTGTCTTACAGAAATTAAATATCCGTTAAAAATTGTTCGTAGATCATTTGGTTATTTTTAATAGACAATACCAAGATACTTTAGGCAGTAAGTTGTTGTAAATCGCATTGTGTTAATGAACCATTTTTTTTTTGTAAGGCGCATGAACAGAAGGTAATGAATCAGACTTTTTATATTTCATTTAAAACTCTAATTCATTTTTTAAATTACCTTTTATGAAATGACCTCATATTTTTACATGAAGGATTGTGAAGGTAGGAAGTAAAAGACTTTTGAGTTTGTTACATTGGACTGGTAATACTTTTCAAATTTGTTACCATCATCCTGTATTCACATATCATTTGATACAATTTTCAGTTCATTCCCTCATCCTATTTTTTTCAAAAAAAAAAAAAAAAAAAAAAAAAAAACAACAACAAAAAAACAACATTGAAATTGAGCAAAATGACTTAAAGATGAAATTTCACTTTAATCCTGATATTCAATTTCATTGAGTATATTTCCTTTTTTATAGTTTTTTTTAACCTCAGTGAAGGTCCTTTAATCTATAGTTAAATCATTTACCACTTTTCTAAAGGATCTATTTACTAGTATACAGAAAAATCCATTTTTGTGTATTGGAGTTTCTTCTTAATATTAACCATTTCATTACCAAAAGGGCCATCAACCTAGACAGAAATTACACTTTATGTAAACCAGGCTAACTAAAACTTAATCTGACTTTCACAAGATATGTAAATGTGTTTTAGCAATACAATAATGTGAAATATTAAAACACATACAACTTTTACAAATTAACAATTTTATATATGAATCTGCCTTTAATCTCTCTCAATTTTGTCAATATTTCTGATATTTATAACATATTTTTCTAAATTTTCATGAAGATAAGCATGAAAATAGAGGAATGCTGTTTTAAATAAACTCTCTTTTGTCATGTCTAAAACTTCATCATAACAACATAGCAAGCTACATAACTTTGAGACTTCTTTCATGTCTCCTTAAAACTATGAGGCATCGCAAAACATCACTGACTGCTATAAACTATTTCAGAATTTCATCACTGATGAACAGTTTGTTTTATAGTAAAGATATTTTGTATCAGCATATTTACTGATAATATTTAACATCAAGTCAATGCCTCTCCTTCAAGTTTTTTACGTCTCATTGCAGACAATTTTTGTATCCATTTCTCCAGTTTTTCTTCAGGGTCTGTATATAACTGAAAGATTTAAGGAAAATTTAATCTATCCATCATTCAATTGAATATAATCGTTAAAGTCATAAATATACATATGAGGAAAGTTTTATGTAACTACATTCAGTGGTTAATGATATGAGCCATGTCACGACAAAACCAACATAGTGTGTTTGTGTCCAGCATGGATCCAGACCAGCCTGCGCACCTGCGCAGTCTGATCAGGATCCATGCTGTTCGCTTACCAACACTATTAGTAGAGAAACTGATAGCGAATAGCATGGATCCTGATTAGACTGCGCGGATGCACAGGCTGGTCTGGATCCATGCTGGTCGCAAACGAACTATGTTGGTTTTGTTGTGACGCGGCTCATATATGAAGTTGCAAAACAAAACCTTATTCAAGCCTCACAAAAAAGAAGAAATAGTAGTGAGCAGGAAAACATTACTGTCTTTGAAGTAGTTAAGCAGAAATTCTGGTAAAATTTTTACACTATTTAGATTTTTTCTTCTATATTATTAGTTTTTAGCAAACAACCATTCATATATGGCCATAGATCCTGTTGGGAATCTTTACAGCAAAATTATAATACAGAAAAACTTCCTCTTTCAGAGGAAAGCATGAAATTACTTCATAATTTCACATAGCCATGTATATACATGCAGACTATATGAACATCAGGATAAGCTATCAAAAGTGACATTACATACATGCAGCATTATAATCTAAAATATAGATATAATTTAGATAATCTAAATATATAATAAACAGACTTACACTAGGATGGGCTAAATCTTCTTTATCTACATCAACTAGTACAGGTTTTCTCTGTGAGTCAAGTCTTAATTCCCCTGCAGTACCGAATGTGAAATCATCGATTTGTGGCTTCTCCTCCTTCTTGTCCTACAATATGAATGGTTAATTTGAGCCACGCCATGACAAAACCAACGTAATGCGTTTGCCACCAACATGGATCCAGACCAGCCTGCGCATCCGCGCAGTCTGATCAGGATCCATGCTGTTTGCTATCAGTTTCTCTACTTGTAATAGGGTTTTCAGCGAACAGCATGGATCCTGATCAGACTGCGTTGATGCACAGGCTGGTCTGGATTCATGCTGGTCGCAAACGCATTACGTTGGTTTTGTCATGGGGCGGCTCATTTGTTTTCCTTTATGTCATTATACTGTAGTTTAGGCAAAAAAATTCATTTATTTATTTATTATTGTAACATGAAAGAGACAATACTTTGATCAAACTGAATGGATTGATTAAGACTCTTCAGAATTTTCTAAAACTCGAATCAGCTTTGCATAGTTGATCAGAGCAATAAATTTGTTGGTGATGATTTGCTTTTTTTTCTCAATAAAATTACAAATAACTGAAACAGATCTACCATTGTAAGTAATTTACATTAAAACCAATATTATAAAATCCATAAATTAAACTGCAGCTATTATTGAATGTCATTATCTGAAAACTGATAATTCCTTAAACAAGACCTACCATAAAATGGGACCAAATCTGACTGTTTCTTATCATCAAAATTAATGCAAAAACTCTGAGGTCATATTTCCTATTATTTCTTTTAAATTTTATTAAAATTGGTTGGAAAAAAAATGGTTGATTGGCATAAGAAGTGCACACTGACATGCTGATGTTGTGCAGGGGTATAAAAAGGCACATAAGAACATGTCACCTGGAAGAATTCAAGTATGAATGCTAGATGATTCATCTGTTTATTTGCTTGTCTTTATGCTAATTTTACACAATTTTTGGTCATTTCCCAGGAGCCAAATCACTTAAAGATCCTGTACTTTGTAATTAAGGTTGTAAACAATTTTATTGGGTTTTACATCACACTGACACAGTATAGGTCATATGGCGACGTTCCAGCTTTACTGGTGGAGGAAGTTTTCAGGTGCCCTTCTGTGCACGAGCGGGTACCTGAGTAAAACCACAGACATTCCGTAAGCTAGCTGGATAGCTTTCACACATGAAAGAATTTAAAGTCCCCGTCTGGATTTGAACCCACAGCGGTGAGGAACAAATGGTTTGAAGTCAACCACCTTAACCACTCGGCCACAACCGCCCCCAGGTTGTAACCACACTTAGGTCAAAGTTTATGTATGTATATAATTATGTTTCTAAAACAATTTTCAAACATCGGAGAATATATAAAATAATTATGTACTGCAAATATTTGTTCACATGATATGTAACCATTGAATTGTTTACATTCATTTCTTATTGAAAAATTTTACTTAGACTTTATAGAAAATACATTTCTATTTACCTCCCTTTATTAACATGACATGTAAATTCAGTAATTTCTTTACAAGTAATCCTTTTTGGAACTTACAATATTGATAAATCTTCATTTGAGCATTAAATTTATGACATAAAACCAAAAATAATAAATTGAGTTAAAGGATCTTTTAACAGGCTTTCCTGGTTAATTACATACAAGTATTTACAATTTTGTATATTTTACTCCTATCTACCAATATCAGAAAATAATAATCAAATATTTTTTCAAAACACTTTAAAATAGCCAATTTAACTTATATTTCAACATACATGTACATCTTTCAAAAAGACCTCAAGCAAAATCAAACAATGACTTACTCCTCTACTGGATTTGAATGATGATGCAGCAAAACCTGAACTTTCAATATCTTGTAAAGCCTGGGAGAAAGCCATTGAATCATGTAGACTGGTGGAGGAATGACTCTTAGTAACATCTCCCTTCAACTTCTCGTCTGCTGCAGCTAAAAATAGAAATATTTCAAGATGTTACAGTTTTTTTATTTGTTTGATTGTGTTCTATGTCACACCAACACAATATAGGTCATATATCAAAGTTCCAGCTTTACTGGTAGAGGAAGACCTCAGGTGCCTTTCTGTGCATTATTTCAGGGACAAAATGGCACCTGATTAAACCATCAATGTTCCATAAGCTAGCTGGATAGCTTCCTCACATGAAAGAATCCAAAATCCCAGTTGGGATTCAAACCCACAGCAGTGAGGGGTAAGTGGTTTGAAGTCAACGACCCTAGCCACTCGGCCACAGACGCCCCTCAGATGTTACAGTGACAGGTCACATTCCATTTACATCATATAAAGGAGCTGCCTTTCTTTAAATAAATAAAATGATTTCTTCTTAAACCAACAAGAATGATTTTGCCATAAACCAATGGGTGAAAATGTTGCTCTTGTTTTGATTTGTTCATATGCTTTATTTTTTCTAATTAAATTATCAAGAATATAAGAAACAGTTACACAACAGCTAGAAATCTACATCTGTGATGACAGTGTTTGAGTCCTTTTCTTGCATATTGCATATAAATCATATTTCAAAAACTAATATTTTCATTTTGCACATTTTTCTTACAGTAGAGTATGAAATTACAACTTAAATTATAACAGGCAAAATGATGTCATCTTAAGTACACAATTTATTCATAGAAGACTTGTGGGAATGAAATCATCTAAAGTATGGAATTAATCTTACATATGGGATGCAAGATGGCTTTATCCGGCACCTGGGTAAACAGTATAAAATCCTGTTAAGTTAAAAAAAGGTTTAGTCAGAAACATGTTGTCATACAATTACAGCATCCATGGAAATATTAAAATAAGATCCGATGGTCATATTAGAGAAGATTCAGACAAACAGACCAAGGGACTACATTATAGGTATTGATGTCAAAACAGTGCAAGGATGTAACAAAGCTATGAATTCTCTATTAACTTACCAATTCATGTGCGACATAAAGTTCATGAAATTAATAATGTAACATTAATATAAAATCATACCTGCTGCTTTTAAAGCCATGTGCATCCTGATTTTAGCCTGTTCTGCAGGAGTCTGTGAAAAGAAATACAAAATAAAACATACTTAAATCACCATTCATACAATCAGTATTTTGATAGTTTCTTTGGTGTGGTTTTTATGCTTAGTTTATTTTGTTAGGTTTTTATGCTTAGCTTGTTTTGCTAGGTGTTTATGCTGAGTTTGTTTTGTTAGGTTTTTATGCTTAGTTTATTTTGTAAGGTTTTATGCTGAATTTGGTTTGTTAGGTTTTTATGCTTAATTTGGTTTTTTAGGTTTTTATGCCGAGTTTGTTTTGTTAGGTTTTTATGCTTAGTTTGTTTTGCTAGGTTTTTATGCTTAGTTTGTTTTGCTAGGTTTTTATGCTTAGTTTGTTTTGTTAGGTTTTTATGCTGAATTTGGTTTGTTAGGTTTTTATGCCAAGGCTGTTTTGTTAAGTTTTTTTGCTGAGCTTGTTTGTTAGGTTTTCATGCTGAGGTTGTTTTGATAGGTTGTTATGCTGAGTTTGTTTTTGTTAGGTTAGATTTTCATGCTGAGTTTTTTTTGTCAGGTTGTTATGCTGAGTTTGTTTGTTAGGTTTTCATGCTGACTTTGTTTTTGTTAGGTTGTTATGCTGAGTTTTTTTTGTTAGGTTGTTTTGCTGAGTTTGTTTTGTAACGTTTTTATGCTGAGTTTGTTTTGTTAGCTTTTTATGCTGAGTTTGGTTTGTTAGGTTTAGTGCTGAGGTTGTTTTGTATTTATGCTGAATTTAACACATTTTTGGTCATATCTTGGGAATGGGACCACCTAACTAGATTTCATGAATAACTAACCAGTTATTACCAATATCTCCGCAAGTGACCAGCTGCTTATCGTACATGATTTCTGAATCAGCAGTGAAAGAAAAATCACCATTAGACACAACGTCTGTGATCATTTGTCACAAATATGTTGATGGATGTAACAAGTTTAAAAAGATCTATTTTTGCATGCTTTAATATTCAAATAACAAGAGCTGTCAGAGAAGGGGTGTCACATTTATTGGGGTTTGGTCGGTTTTTAACCAAAAACCAGGAAGGGAATGAAATAACTGGAAACCCAGGTTAGTATAAGACAAACAGCTGAAGAAATTTAAGATTGGGGTTTAAAAGTACCTTTGTTTCTTTATGACAATATATGACATTTTGTTGAATTTCAAATATATTTTTCCAATTGACAGCTCTCTATATATACTTAGTACAGTCCAGCTATCTATCATAAAATATGAAATATTATTTAAGTAAACTAAAAACAATACATTAAAAAGTTTGTTACATATGAAAGGAAGGAATAAATTTTTTACCATATCAGCAAATCCTGGTATATTTGCACATGGGTCTCTGAAAAGAAAAAGAATTAATTTATTCATAAGAAATATTTTCAGGACATTGGTAAAAATAATTGACATGTCACATGCTCAAGTTAGTAGGCACAGTTCTTACAAGCATATAACTGGCCTCACATTATAGGTTTAAATGCAAGTGATGACTGACTTTAGAAATATTTTATATCCTTCAACATGCACACATTTAACTAAATATTAAGCATTTATAAAAACCTACAAATAGAAAATTTTCCCTATATCATATGAGAATGGGAAGCAAAAAAAATTTTTAGCAATAATTACAAAGAAAGGAAACTTTAATGTGTAACTTACTCCCTTTCCTCCGATGATCTGTTTTTTCTTCCTTTTCTATCTGGAGTGTATGACCTTGACCTTCTGTATGACCTTGAGTGTGGATCATATGACCTTGACCTGAATAGAAATAAGAGTATACTGATAATGATTAAATGCATGTATATATTATCTAAGAAATAAAATGTCTGTAACAAACTAAATAAAATGTATGTAACAAACTAATAATTTGTATATCTTAAAATTCATGACGTGTGGAGTTCATGGGTTACCACAATATACCAATGTAAATTTAGTAACACTCTTATGCTTTAAACACCTGTGTGGATTGACATTAAATTTTACAACTTAAAACAAATCATAGAAATACATTTATAGGTGTACAAAGCACATGATTATTCCTGCCTATAGTTTCCATCATGTGTACTGTACTAGATATACCATGTTCTTTCTTTTTTTTATCTAACTTGAGAAAAATACTGAGCATAATCTATCATTTAACATTATAAACAGGTTTCCCCTGGCAAAATTTACAGACAAATTGAATATCAGTAAAGAAAATAGATGTTCAAATATTTTTTCTTTCTTTTTTTCCCGTCCAAAATCAGTTATATACATTTAATTATTTTGCAAGAATATGTCTTGAGAAAGATGCATAAACCATGTTCACTAAAAGTAAAGACTCTACACATATCACATATGAATCCCGTTCAAATTCGAATCATACCTTTTTCTCCTTCTGTCTCTGCTCCTTGACCTTGAATATCGACCCCTACTTGATGACCTTGACCTTTTCCTGTATCTATCTCTACTACGTGACCCTGACCTCTCATAACTACGAGATCTTGATCTGAAAATGACATATTTAATACTAACAAAATTGCTTCCATTTTAACTTTTACTCATATTTCATATTTAAATACTATTCTACAAGACATGTACAAGCAATCAACAACATGAATAAATTAATTCTGAATAATTTGTTGTCATGACATAATTTCTAGGACAATAGAATTATAGATAGATAATGCAGAAACAAACAAAGTACATTTGCTTCCATCATTTCTTTCAATCAATAACTACTGTGTCAATAACAACTGCTTCATATCATAATAGTCAAACAAAAAGCGCAGAATTTTAAATCACTTTCTACAATCGTACCTTCTGTATCTATCAGTTGACCTGCTTCTTGATCTAGACTTACGCTTCTTCTTTTTCTTGGATTTCTTTTGTTTAGTAGAATGGCGACTTTCTATACTTTCACTCCTTGAACGGGACCTACAATTAAAATAGAATAGAATTTGTCATTACTAAAGAGAATGAAGTATTGCTTGTCTAATTGTTTATTAGCATTAGGGCCCATTGCTCAAAGTGAGAAAATCATCAGGTGACAGTGTCTCTCAACTCGCACAAAATGCCTAAATTTGACTATGCCTTAAATACAAAGGATGCAAGGATGAATATTTTACTCTTATAATTATACCAGGAAGTCAAAGACTGGCTCCACAAAATTTTTACCAAACTTCCCCGTTTTTAGGCTTTGCCTAATGTCATATTATCATATATATAGCTATTGAAGAATAATATACATGTACCTAGATCTTTTCTTTTTCTTCTTCTTCCTTTTCTTCTTTTCCTCTTCACTTTCAGAAGAGTATCTTCCCATTATTTACTATCCTGAAAGAAGTAAATCCATCGGAACAAAACTTATTCAAGAGATCAAGTAAATACATATCGTCAGGTGCCCTAAATTTGACCCTGTCCTAGAGTCAACACCTATCCTGAGTATGTCAGAAAGTCTCAACAAATTATATTTAAGAGAGAAAACAGTTGGATATTTTTAAACATCAAAGTAAATTAAATGTATCTGCCAAATTTCTTCAACATAGAATGTTTGGAGTTGGATCATTAGAAAATAGGAATAGAAAAAGTAGCACTGTAAAATGCTTAGGGTGGCGTATCATGGCCACCCGAGGATATCTGGATATATCATATACTAAAACTCACTTGACTGTTGAAGTTATATAATTATGGACTAATCAACCATTAAATTAATCAGGTCGGTCCTACTAAACACTGCTAAGGACTGCTAAGCTTAGCAGTGTTTAGTAGGACCCTGTCTTTGAAAGTTTGAAAGACACTAGCCTAATTAATTTGGCGTGAACGGTTTGACCCATTTTACAGACTTTTTTTTTCTTACTGTCAAACCGTTAAAAATGCAGTTCATGGTTGGACTTGGAAAAAGACAGCGCCCGTCCAAAATTATCTCGGTGTCTCTTTGACAAGTCTAATTAGTTGGACTAGAAAGACACTGGACTAATGGACAATAGAAAGCGTAAAAAAGACATTACTTAACCTCTAAAAAGATAAACGGATCTCACAAAGTAAATCATAGTTAAAATTCTAGTTACAAGAACCTGTTATGATCAGAAAAGCTACCATAAAAATGTTATATTTTTCAATCAAGTCACTAAAACAATAAAAGGTCGCGAAATTATATTGCAAATTTATTTAAGCATTGAGTGATTTGCAAGAATAAAATATTTATGTAAAATACTGATAAAATATGTTATAATCTATAATACTAAATCTTTGATTTTATCTTAAAATTTACAATTCATGGCAAAATTTCATTATTCAAAAACTACCTTTTTTCTCGAGTAAGGGTACCTACTCTGATTGGAAACGATTTGTTGACATTTTTACCTCCCCTGACCGCGGGAAGAAAGTTTGCCTACGCAGCAGGAAAGACAGTTGATCAAAACCAAAACATCTCGGGTAATAAGACATTCAAATAAGAAATAACTTTTTCAAAGGAAGCCATTCTCATCTCATTACCACAATGCTATGCCTATCTTGATAATTTTATCAAATGTAATGGGATTTCGCGATCCATAGATTTTTGTATTCAGTTTCACTTTCATAAATATTGAAATTTATTACTATCTAAGTTGTTAAGGGTCTAGACTATTGTTCAAACAATGTATGAATCACCTCAAACATAAGTGATACGGTCAGAAGCCCGATGACATAATTAAGCCCCCCCCCCCCCCCTCATGAAATTTACACATAATACAAAGCCCCCCCCCCTCTCCCCTGTCGAATAAACATATAGGACACAAAACGACCCCCAACCCCACCAGGTCCATCAAATTTACATTTAGGACAAAAGCCCCCATAGAAAACATTAAACCAAAATTTATCATAAACGGTGTGAATAATGGCCAGCCTGCAAAATGAGCCTTACGGTAACGCGAGTACCTGCTAAGTGATGGTTTTGAAAACTTTCGTCTGAAGTACCGAATTGGACACATTGCAACTTTTCGAATTACAATATAACGATAAAAGCTGATGTACTCTGATTGAAAACGGAAGCGTAGACTGGTGTCCTGCGCAGTTATAAAGGAACTATAATAGAAAGGGGGAACCAGAATAAATGGAAGCAGTGTGTAAAATACCTAATGACAATTTTTAAACGGAAATTGTAAAATAAAAATGAACGATTATTTTAAACTATCTTGGGGTAAAGGAAAATTGAGCTCGCTTTGAGGCTTTGCCTTTTTCATATTATTTCATTTATATTTCATCATTAGATTGTGCTTTATTCCATCCCTGTGCTCTTCATCTACATTTCTGTTCATGTTTGTAAACTTTGTATGCATGTTTGTAGTATAGTTGTGTTTGTTTATATTATATCTTCTGATCATTTACTGGTGCAGATGCTTTGGCTAGATATTGCCGAGACACGAATAGGCCTATAGCACAATATCTCGTCGCACAGTACAATTAGTTGGACTATATTCACCCATATTGCAGTGCTATCTTTACTATTATACATATACATTCAGAGGCACTTAAAGCCTGACACTTAAAGTTTTCTGTATAAATAGGTTATTTGTGAACAAATTTTGTTCAAATTTTGACCATACAAAATTCAACATATCATACTTTCTACTTAGAATTATATTTGCAATTTGTCGATAATGAAAAAGAAAAAAAATAACAAAACAATAATGTTACTGTATTTGTAAAATGAAAAATCACGGAATGACTATAAAAATCGTAGCAAAGTGAAAAGCCTCTGAATCGCACTAAATCTGTATGTTAACCATTTAGTGGCAGGGTGGCTATGTGGTTAATGTGTTGCACTAGTAATGTAAGGATTGCTGACGAAATGGGTTCAAACCCTGTCGGGGGCAAGTCGTTGTTTCCTTGAGCAAGAAACTTTACATTCATTGCATAGTACTGGTTGGTTCCAGGAACAGATTTGAGAGTATGTGTTTCTAGCTTATAGCTTCCAACACAATCAAACTAAAATAAATTTGTATAAACTAATCAGTTTTAACATTTTGTATATCCTCCCAATTGGTTATAACAATGTAAACACCTCTGCCTCACAGTTCACTATTCCTAAAAAAGGGCTTGCTAGAGTTCCAGTAAATTACTAGGGGCTTCTGGTGGCTTTCTCGCCTGTTAAATTCAGCCGACAAGTGTGATGTCATTTTACATTAGTCAGCAGACTTATGTATCAAAGTATATGGCATGGCGTCTTTGATTTTAGCATGGTTGAGCCATAAGTGATAAGCCTTTGCCACCAGTATAGAATCAAGTTAGTCATATATTCATCAGTCTTTATAGTGTGCTTAGCTCTGATTTGTATTTTGTATATGAAATCCCATGGATTTCATATACTGTTCAAAGATTGACTACGGAGAAAGTCCATTACATTATGTCATAACTTTAGAAGGGTAGCTAAACTTCTTATTTCAGAATGTAAATAATGATTTGTTTTTTTTATTACAGCTGAGGCACAGGCAAAGGATACATTTAATAAAGTCTTGGTACTCGGAAACAGGAAAGTCAGATAGATCTATTTGACAATGTCAAATGCGGTTGCAGAGCAGATGCCAGGAGAGCCAATAGCTGGTAGCTCAACTGTAACTTCTGAGAGTTGTGAACAGATAATACTAAACAAACATGAAGATAATCCAGTAGTGATTTTAGATGATGATTCTTCAGAAACAACTGTTGACAAATTGACAAGTATTTCAGAAACCAAATTTGTTGACAGTGTGATACCACATTACCCAAAGTCTTTTGTTGATGTTCTTCATAATGGTGAATTAGAAATGACAAAAATGTCACCATCAAGTGTGTCCAATGAGAATGAAGCACCTGATTTATCAAATAGAAACAAAGCACCAAGTAATACATTGACAATGCTAGCGGCAGAGTTACAGAAACCAGCAAGTTCAAAGTGTTCTGGTCCAGGGAGTATTGCGGAGGCAGCACATAATGCATTCCTGGCCAGTCAACCTGGGCCACATCCATTATTACAACAGATTGAAAACATCTCACAAATATATGGTAAAATTTCATTAAAGTTTGTTAAAACATTACTGTGATTACACAAAATTCACTTTCTTGTTAGTCAAGTATGATGTATTTCTAAAATTACACATCATAATTCTAAAATTCTTGTAGAGTTTTATGTGTGAGCTGAGGCCTCAGTGGGTAATGGTTAAGGTTGCTGAGTTTGTGTCACTTGCCACTCGACCATGACACAGACTTTGGATAATTTCATGTGAGGAAGTTATTCAGCTTACTTAAAACAGATTGGTGGTTCCACTAAGATGCCAATTATGTCTGAAATAATACAGAAATTGTTTTAAAAATCTGATATCTCCAGTGTTGGAGCTACTTAAAACTCAACTGAAAAAGAATATATATATAAAGCAAATGAATATCTTTATGATGTTGATCTTAAGTATTTTGTCCTTTTCATTCTTGCAAACAATTAGATATTTTGAGGGTAAATTCATTATCATTTTTGAGCAAAATTGTCTTTCATGGTGAAAAGAACAAAAATTTAGCCACATAGGTATTCATAAAAAATTTGTTTGTCGGGCTTTCTAGCTAAACTCAAATATTGAAGAGGTAAAATTAAGTTTATTTACTAATAGTTACAATTACATATGAGGGCAGGGCTTTTTTCACAGGCTAGGGATGCAGCCTTTCCCCTTATTTTGGTGGAAAATAATAATTGTGGTAATTTTGTAAAATTGAAAGAAAAAACTTTATTTCAATTAAATTTTTTGGGAAAAGTGCATGATTTTAAAGAATTTTTCTTTATGGAAGCTGCCTTTAAACAGCCTTTACTATTGAAGGAAATAAAGCCCTGGTGGGTTACAGGTAAAATGTGATAAATATATTTTAAAGACAAAACAGTGAACAAGATAAAGAAGATCAGCTTTTAAAAATTCATATTTTTGATTGTTGCATGTAATTATTTATTAAAAGGTAATCAAGATGTGGTGATGGTCAATGATAAACAGTTATCTGCCCCTGTTGCCCAGGGTGATGAAGAATTAGGAAGACTTGCTCAGGATGGTGTAAATGAAACAATTAGGTAATTTCTCTTACAGTCAAGTGCAACGTTACTGCATGTACTTGTTTAAAACTCAATTTGTCATATTATAAGCTGACTAAATCTTGAAATAGTTAAAATTTTGAGATATGTTATTCAAAATGACCATGGAAAAGACATTAAGACTGCATGACTTGTAGCTTTTTTAAATAATTAGTATCTAATATATTTTCCATGAATATATAATGTATTATATAGTTTAGACCAATCTATAGCCCTTTTCTGTTGTTACTTTGCAAACCAAACAGTTTTCTAACAATAAAATATTAAAAATTTGCATATACACAATGTAGAAGCCAGAATGATGTTCAAGTACATTTATAAATATATTTTTTCAGTGCTGAAGTATTCTCTGGGTACAGACATAGAGAAATTTTACCAGGGTGTAAGCCCCATCCTGGAGATATTGTAGAGGCAGGGCCACTTGCTGTAAGTTTTTATAAATTTGTAAATTACAGGCTTTTATCCAGGATTTCGGGAACATGACCCATACCCATGGCATTGGGATATATATAAAGCAATGTTTTGTTAAAAATTGGGGGAAAATGCATGACTTAATGATTTAAATGGATTGGATTAGATTTTTTTTTAAATTTAGGTTTGTAAAAAGTTCATACTTTGGAAAAAATTATTTGATTATGAAAGTTGGAGCTAAGAATTATAAATTTATGAAAATGATAATCACTGGTTATTATCCCCCGCCGATGGAATCGGGAGCGGGATATAGTTTTGGCGTTGTCTGTTCGTCCGACCGTTCGTCCTTCCGTTTGTCCATCTGAGCAAACATTTGATTATTATGAGCTTCATTCCGTAGTTAAATAAAGAACAAAAACTCATAAAATTCAAATTAAGAGCTATTTTCCGGTCAGACACTTTAACCCAGAGTTATGGCCCTTGATTAGTTATGCCATATGCATATGGAGTAAAAATCGTTTCCGCGCTACTTTTCTGCAACTACTGGCTGGAATTCAACGAAACTTTATGGGAACCTTCAATACCAAGAGGAGATGCGCATATCGTTGCCTTGTTCCGGTCAGACACTTTAACTCAGAGTTATGGCCCTTGATAAGTTATGCAGTATGCATATAGAGAAAAAATCGTTACCGTGCTACTTCTCTGCAACTACTGGCTGGAATTCAATGAAACCTTATGGGAACCTTCAATACCAAGAGAAGATGCGCATATCATTGCCTTGTTGGTGTCAGACACTTTAACTCAGAGTTATGGCCCTTGATTAGTTATGCAGTATCCATATAGAAAATTATTCGTTTCCTCATTACTTCTCTGCAACTACTGGCTGGAATTCAATGAAACTTTATTTGAACCTTCAATACAAAGAGGACATGTGCATATTGTCACCTTGTTCGGGTCAGGTTTTTAACTTAGAGTTATGACCCTTGATAAATTAGGCAGTATACAACCAGAGCAATAATTGTTTCCGTGCTACTTCTCTGTAACTACTGGCTTGGATTCAATGAAACTTTATGGGATACTAAGAGGAGATGTGCATATAGTCGCCTTGTTCAGGTCAGATACTTATAACTCAGATTTATGGCCCTTGAATAGTTATGTAGTATGCATACATCTCATCGGCATTTCCAGATATTACTATTTAACACAAAGTTATGGCTCTGTTATTTCCCTGAATATTTATCAGGTTCAAAGAATATTACTGTTTATGCCATGATTATTATATAAAGAAAGCCTTATGTCTTCAGTTGTTGTGTTAATAATAACCAGTACTCGGCGGGGGATATAAATTCAACGAATTTGCTTGTTGTTATTGTATAGGAAATATTGCACTGTATTGAGCAAGTAAATTTTTTATTTTATGTGCATTAGTGACTGATTTAACAGTATCTATAATCATATTTCTGCTGCATGACCAAAGCAGTAAAGGTTATTTTAGCATATTGTGACCTCAATTTGGTAATTTACGTGGATTGTTTGTGTAAATTATTTTCTTTGCTCACTTCACAATATTTTACTTTTTAATACATGTTCAATATTTTCATGAAAATTAGCATGCTGCTTTAATAAATATATTTTGAATTCTTAAATTCAATTTATTTAGATTTAAGAACCAGAAGTAAGGTGCAAATTGCAATCTTTGAAATAAAAGTATTTTTTTTTTTGCTTTACAATTGATATACTTGTTTATTGTTAATTGGTTTTATAGAAAGAACTTAATCTTAATTTTTCTAGGCAATAACCCCACCAGATAACTACTACCCACTGGATAAGTCCTTGCCAAGGGAGATAATTCAAGGTGGAAAACTGAGTAGTCTTCAATTAGAAGGTGTTATACAGGCAGTAAGTTTTACAACTATTAAATGATAGACTGTTTGACACTGAGATATTAATCTTACTTAAATAAATATGTTTATGGTGATACCTATTTTATATCATTATAAAAAGATCTTGGGAGTATCCATCTCTGTTGACTTCAAACACCTTGCCTCTCACCTGTGTAATTTCGAGCCTCATCATTGTCTTGGGATTCTTTCACAAAGGGGCACTTGAGGTCTTTCTCCACCAGTTAAGCTGGCAAGACACCATAATTATGTTCTAAACCATGTTGGTGGGATGCAAAACGCATAAAAAAAATCGCCATATGACTTATTCTTTGGTGGTGGGACTTAAAACCAAACCAAAAAAAAACAAAAACAATAAAAACAAAACAAAAAACAATCTTATTGATATTCAGACCACATAATGAACATTTTAGGTTTTTGTTATATAACATCTTTGCTGTGCTCTATAAATATTCAAATCTGCCAATGAATGTAAAAGCTTAAAACTTGCCTTGCATAGAAGGTAGTAAGTGTACTTTTTAGGAAGCTTGTATATAATGAAAAAAGAGGAAATATAAGATTCTGAGATAAAAAAAATTCTATCTTCAAATTCAAATTAACCTCTAAAACATTATCAAGTTAAAAACTTGACAATTTCACAGATGACATTGTTTATTTTTAGTGTCAGAGGCATCAGATGTTGTTACCTAATGGTCAGAGAGCTGGTTTCTTTATTGGTGATGCTGCTGGTGTAGGTAAAGGTAGACAGGTAATTATATGATCAGACCTCTGTCTACAGTGATTGTCAAACTAACCTGTATATCTGTACAGTATGACTACAGTTTGCTCAATTTAAGCATTTTGAACTGGAAAAACCTATTAACCTTTTATTGAATGTTTCACTTAAATAGCAAATTATTTGAGCCGTGTCATGACAAAACCAACATAATGGGTTTGCAACCAGCATGGATCCAGACCAGTCTGCGCATATGCGCAGTCTGATCAGGATCCATGCTGTTTGCTTACCAACCCTATTACAAGTAGAGAAACTGATAGCCAACAGCATGGATCCTGATCAGACTGCGCGGATGCGCAGTCATCCGCGCAGTCTGGTCTGGATCCATGCTGGTCGCAAACCCATTATGTTGGTTTTGTCGTGACGCGGCTCATTTCATGTTCTAATTAAGTTTCACTTTAATAGTGAAAAGGCACTTATAAACATGAAAAGCAATTGATGTCTTTTTATAAAAGAATGAGCATTTCTTTTAACTCGAAGGACAAAAAAACTAGAAAAGACTGCCTGTTTAACTTTCCATTAGTGTTCCAGTTCAGTATATTTATAGTTTAATATGGTATCTTCACTTTTTTTCTTTGAAAAGGTGCTTAAACACAGCCTACCTTTTGGTTTGATTTGCTGCTGTAGAAATTGTTGCAAAATTAGCAAAATAATTAAGAAATTGATGTTTTCACTTGTGTTTCTTTTTGTGAAAGGATTTGAAATCAATTTATTTTTGTTGTATGATTATTGTGCTTTAATCATTTTCGATTTTAGATTTCTGGAGTTATTTTGGACAATTTTGCCAGAGGAAGAACAAAGAGTATTTGGTTTACAATATCAGCTGACTTGATTGTAGATGCAAGAAGGTGAGATCATAACTAATTGAAGAAAAAAAGTGTTGTGTATGTTGTCTCTTAAATACCAGTTGCTGTATTTAGACATTATCTATACAGAAGTTTTACTGCAGATTATAACATTTTCTTTAAAGCAACATGTCTCCAGATTCACGCCAAAATTTATTGGAATTGGAACAAAGAAAGTTATTTACACATTGTAAATGACACATGTAACCCATGTAAATTACCGAAAGGATGTCAAAATATGCAAAATAGCCCTTGCTCTTACTGCATTACTGCAGTAGAGATATGGCGATATATACTGCAAAATCAATCATTAATCACACTTTACATTTTAATTATTACTTTAATCTTGATTTTTTTTTACTTTTCTCAAGTTTGATTTTTTTAAAAATTTTTGGCTCATTTTCAGGCATTCATCTTTAAATTCAGATATATTATTTTATTCCTACTTGTCAAAAATCAAGTTCTAGTTTTACAAACTTTATAGTACACAAATAATATGAAAGTCTTACTAGGTACAATGGAGATCCTGTTTTAAAAGTTTAAGAGTCAAAATATATTTTCTCAATGTCTTGTTAATTATGCTTAAAATTAACTTGTACCAAGTAATAACAAGTTACAATGCATATGATATGTTGTATTGTTACAGAGATCTGGGTGACCTTGGTTGTTACATTAAGGTGATTGATGGATGCCAAGAGCTGGATAAACATACAAGGTAATGTCCTGTTGTTCACATGTAGTCTGACAAATGTTTGTTGTAATCTGTTGATTAACTTTTTAAGGTGTGATGTGGAATTGACACCGACCCCCTCAAACCTAGTACAGGGTAAATAAATGAGGTTTCTCAGATGGGCCTAACCCCCCCCCCCCCCCTCAGTACAACTCTACATCAGGATTTCATCAACCTTGTTATATATCTTAAACATATGAATGAGGCAGTAACAAATTGAACATTATCTGACACACCAGGATACTAGAGAATGGAATAACAAGAGCCCGGTTTGAGCCGGGTGATGCTCCCCGAATAGGTTTTGGACACAGGAAAGTACACCTCTTGTAGTTTCAGAGTTATGTCTGTGGAAAAAGTTCAAAGTGCAATAATTCCAAAATTAGGCAAGGCAGAGTTACAGTTCTTTGCACTGCACTTCTAATCAATGTGATCTATCAACCTTCAAAGTTTCTTGATGATATCTCTTATGATTTCCAAGTTATGTCCTTGACAATTCAAAAAGTAAAAATAAACAAAGGGCAATAACTCCAGAATAAGGCAAGGTAGAGTTATGATTCTTGTGCACTGCACATCTACCCATTGAGATTTATCTACCTACAAAGTTTCATGTTGATATCTCTTATAGTTTTACAGCTATGTCCTGGACAAGATTTTTCTAAAAGGGGAGATTATTCAAAAATAAGGCTTAACAGAGTTATGGTTCTTTTGCACTGCACCTCTACTCAATGAGATCTATCTAACTACAATGTTTCATGTTGATATCTCTTATAGTTTTAGAGTTATGCCCCGGACATGATTTTTCTATAAGGGGAGATAATTCAAAAACCAGGCAAAATAGAGTAATGGTTCTTTGACACTGCACTCCCCCTCGATGCCCTCTACCACTGTATGAAGTTTCAACAAATTATCTCCAAGGGTTTTCAAGTTATGTTCCGGACAAAGTTCAAGTTCAAAGTATTAAAATAAACAAAGGGCAATAACTCCAAAATTAGGACAAAAAGAGTTATTGTTCTTATGCACTGCACATCTATGCATTGAGATCTATTCACCTACAAAGTTTCATGTTGATATCTCTTATAGTTTTAGAGTTATGCCCCGGACATGATTTTTCTATAAGGGGAGATAATTCAAAAACCGGGCAAAATAGAGTTATGGTTCTTTGACACTGCACTCCCCCTCGATGCCCTCTACCACTGTATGAAGTTTCAACAAATTATCTCCAAGGGTTTTCAAGTTATGTTCCGGACAAAGTTCAAAGTATTAAAATTAACAAAGGGCAATAACTCCAAAATTAGGATGAAAAGAGTTATTGTTCTTATGCACTGCACATCTACCCATTGAGATCTATTCACCTACAAAGTTTCATGTTGATATCTCTTATAGTTTTAGAGTTATGCCCCGGACAAGATTTTTCTAAAAGGGGAGATAATTCAAAAACCGGGCAAATAGAGTTATGGTTCTTTGACACTGCACTCCCCCTCGATGCCCTCTACCACTGTATGAAGTTTCAACAAATTATCTCCAAGGGTTTTCAAGTTATGCTCCGGACAAGACAACGGACGGACAGACGGACAGACAGACGGACGGACAGACGGACAAGGCGCCGACTATATGCTCCCCCGAAATTTTTCGGGGAGCATAAAAACAATTTAATGACTTGCAGTCTTTGTATGTAGATAAACCTGGATGAGGTCCAAGGTCAGAGGTCAGGGTCACTGGGACCTGTGATAACAAAACATAAAACTAGCACTTTAAGCTAAGTTCATTGACCTGGGAACTTCCTACTTTGTATGTAGATGTCACAATGACCTTTATATTAAGTTTTTATTTATGGTCATTAACTGCAATTATGAATGAAAATTGATATGGAATGCATGATTTTATCTGATTTAATGTCATTTAAAAAGATTATCATTGGTCAAGTACCCTTTTGTATATCAGTGTTTAGAAATATGAAAAGTTTATATAATTTGTTACATAATTTCAGGGTGTTGGGTCTTCCAGCAGATTTTAGAGAAGGTGTTGTGTTCAGCACATATGCCACTCTTGTATCAACAGTACAAAGTAAAGGTAAGTTTTAAGATATCTGCTAAAGGAGGCTAGGTATTTATAACTTCTTTAACTTGGACTCCTGATGAAATGTAGTAATAAATAGTGGTACCAAAGTCCAGGTATTAGCTTGATTAATAATGACTGGAAGCTAAAGTCTTATCAGAACTTTATAAAAAGGGAACAAGACTTTGCATGGAAGAAATAAAGTTATAGATGAAATAAAGAATTTCTTTTTCAATGATTGCAGGTAGTTTCTCATCTATAAACAGGGCTCACACTGGCTCAAATAAAATAATAGCCAATAATTTCAACTTAAAAAAATAATAGCCAAAAGTTCAGCGGACTATTCACGAATTAGTGATTAACAACATAAGCAGTTGATTAAATAAACATTACATTTATATCTCTCAGTTTTATAAGGATTCTGAAATAAACTGATACATTTGTGTTTATTGAAAACTACCTTTTTTAAATAGAACCACAACTTTAATTGTTATTATAGAACAGAATAAAAACGTTATAATTAGTACAATTACTGTATAACAATAATATTAAAGATTCATTATAACTTTACATAATGCTGTTATCAGACAACTTTTTTTGTTTGTTCTAATCATATTTTGTCAGCTATAACCACTGTCAATTTCCACATTTCACACAGAACTGGAGTAGATCTAGGTCATATTAGCCTATAGAAATAACACAAGTTTGCAAACTCATTCACAGAATGCAGCCTTTTTTCTGAATAATTTACTGAAAAATATCATCATGACCAATGTAATACAAATTTTCTGCCATAGTAGTAAAGATTTTTAAACAGAACATAGCTTATTTCACCTTTAAATAAATATCAAAATTATCGGCGTCGCGAAAATATGTGACAATCGGATTTTTCCTGTTTTCTGAAGATATATTCACAATTTTGGTTGGTGTGCAAATGGTTGTTTGGAATTTAATACTTTTTAAATATTTTACCATTGTTTTCCACTGGCGATTTAGTCAAGTAGCTTAAAACAAAAAAAAATCAAAATTTGCAATAACTGGAATTCACGGTAAATTTTGGGTAAGTCAATATCCAGTTTATCAATTTTAAAACAATTTTTGTGGCTAATTGACGGATATTTGATGGCTATTATAAATGCTGGACAATATCTTTAAAGTACTTATACAATTATACATCTTGCATGTATTTTATCACCTCGGGCAATATAGTTAGAAGCACGTGACCGGTAAAAAGTTGACACTCAATTAAATGCACCCCACCCCGCTGGTGTTAATTGGGTCTACTGCATTCATTATCGATTTTTACACCTTATATAAACACTGTTGGAAGTAAAAAATAATCGCCAGATTTTGTAGCCAAAATGCAAAAATAATCGCCAATCTTATAAAATAATCGCAAATGGCGACTATGGCGACCGACAGCGTGAGCCCTGATAAAATATGCACTGATATAAATGACACTGTGTATATGTAAATAAAAAGTAACACCCAGTTTGATGTAACTTTACTTACTATATTGAATGTCCAGATAAATTCATAATGTGTGGAACTTAAGAAATGACAATTTGTTTTCACAAATAGAAAATGACATTTTTTTACAAATTGAAAAAAATATATATTAAAGGGTATAAAGCTATATCTAGTGATTGTTTGTACAAAATTTAAAAACAGTAAAATTATGTTGTTTGTAGATTATAGAGTTGTAACATAAAATGTATCTGTTATTTTAAACACATGAATATCCCGAACTAATTTTCATGCTGCAATTTTAGAAAGATTTTATCCATTTAGTAATGATTTTGTGCACGTGACTTTCATGAAAAGAAATTCATAAAAAAAAGTATTAAGTGTTATTGTTTTACATTTTTGTTCAAAACAAAATAACACTTTTGTAGTCTGTTGCCCTGTGATGTACCTTCATCCATAGTTTTACATGAAATCACTTGGTGTATTCTAATAAGTTGGCATCTGTAATCCTAGGGAATTATAATTCATCATAAAGTTTGTCCACACCATTGGTATTATCTTGTATTGTGTTCTTGTTATTAAATCTATGTCACACCTAGTTTTCTAGAAATTTGTCACATTTAGATATTCAAACATTGTGTCACATTTAGTTATCCAAACTGTGTCACATTTAGTTATCCACATGGTGTCACATTTAGATATCCAAACTTTGTGACACATTTAGATTTCCAAACTTTGTGTCACATTTAGTTATCCAAACATTGTGTCACATTTAGTTAATTATTGTGTCACATTTAGATGTCCAAACTTTGTGTCACGTTTAGTTATTTAAACATTGTCACATTTAGTTATCCAAACATAGTGTCACATTTAGTTAATTATTGTGTCACATTTAGTTATCCAAACTTTGTGTCACACTAGTTATCCAGAACATCAGGAGGTGGGGGTGCCGGCCCTGCTGGGCGTTGGACTCGTGGTTGTGAAGCAATTTCGGAGGTCCTTATATCATCTAAATGTTTTTCAGGACTTGTCTCTTTTTCAGACCCATAAATAGGACGTGGTTGTTCAGTTATATCATATTTAAACTTTGTCCTTCCCTTACGTGAAATTTTTACAGAATTCTTCTTTATTCCACTTTCTGATTTCTTTATCTTCCACTCCCTCTTCTTCTTTGATGGTGTTTCTGCCTTTTGCTTGACTTTACTGCATGACTTACCCATTTTAATTGTATTGTTATTATTTTCAGTCTCTTTTTATTTTCTTTTAATGTTTTAATGTTGATTTTGAAATATTTTGTTTAGTTTACATGAAGATTTTAAAACCACAATATTTACATCAGAATTTGTCATAATGTCACAATCTGCTTTCACAATTGTTTAAGTGAGTGGTAATAATTTCCTGTTAATAACAATATTTATAAAGCATTTTATTTTTAATGTTGATAACATACAAATTTGTAAAAGGATGAGATGTGGACATGTAAAAAAATCTAACATAGATTTGTTGTATATGTATACTAGAGAAGTTAAAACAACTTTATAGAAATGAATAAATCATTAAATGAGTTATGAAAATATGTGTGATTATTTGGCAGTTTTACCTTAGTTTACAGTCATAAGAAACTGTTTCATATTACTGTAGTGCAGAGTTTTTGCCTCATTTAAACTTATTAGAATTTGTCACAGACAACACAATTATCATGGCATGCAATACCCTTGTATTTTCATTGGCAAGCTTGAAATAAATTATACATTTTATATTTCAAAAGATTGACCATTACAATGATGATTTTTAAGACAAATGTTTAGGATGAAAGTATTTGATTTCTTTTACATTTCATAACATATACTTTTGTCAAATAGTATATAGAGGATATTTGTTTGTTTTGCATGTAAGATTGAAATATAATTTCACTGAGTGAACACCAGATGCAATATTTTCACGAGTGGCGTAGCCACGAGTGAAAATATAATAGGTGGTGTTCACCAATGAAATATATTTCAATCTTATATGTAAAACAAATAAATTTTCTTTTTATTTCATGCTTTTATAGTGATTTTAAGTATGTTTTTACTAATTTTGCCGCGTAACGTCGCGCATTCTCCCTTGTGACGTCATCACATCATGACGTCACAGTATAAATTTTGAAATATAGGTCTGTTACATTTCTCTAATTTTGTTACATTTTTTAACATTATGTATGATGACATCGACTTTCATTTCCTAAAAAAGCAAAATTTACACATGATGGCATTTATTTCTGTCTGTTATTCCATTTACTTATGATCTTCTTTTCATCCGCATTCAGATATAGTCCGGCTACAGTGAAAATTATATTTTATAAATTTCACTAGTGGTTTATCAGAATATAATAATCTGATATATTACAATAAAACACCGGAAAGCATGAAATAATTATTTCTTTATGTATGTGATATACTGTAAAATTCCTAATAAACGCCCCTCCCCTAATAAAAGCCCCCAGACTTTTTGATATGGAAAAAAATCTGCTCATGAGTGGTGAACTCTTTAATAAATCTGAATTTTATTCAAATCCTTCAGAATCCATTTTATTTCATAGTTAACACAAAAATGTATCACATGAACTTTAAAATCTTAATATATTTTAATGTTATTACCAACCCATGTTACACTAAATGTATTTTCAATGATTTTTGGATTTAGGAATAATAGGAATTTTACGGTACATTATATTCTTATTGTCTCACCAAACTGTTAGAGAAAATTTGTTTTAACCTGTGTTTAGAAAGACCAAACTTAAGTATTAGGTAAGATTCTTATTTAAAATGTTTTTTCAGGTTGATCTCAAATTAATGTATAGCTATTAATAGGTTGAAATTTATCTCCTTATGTCAACATGGTTGTTGTTTTTGTTTTTTTTCTTTTGTTGATTGAAAAATCATAAAACTCTCTTATCACAGAAAAAGATTAAATCAATTATCTTGCTGAAAACAATAGATGTTTAAAACGAAAGAGATAAAATCGTTTTTCATGTCAAAATTGGATGGTCATTACTTCCTAGTATTGAACAAGTAAATGATAATAAATGTTCATGATACAATATAATATATATATAAAAGGACCAATACTATAAAAAGACTTACCCACTAACATTCCTGATATATTCTAAATTAAATTTTTGCGTAGTAAAATATTAAACTGAACACAAGTGTGACAACATGTGAAGTTATTTTAATTTTTGGATGTTCATAAGATTCATACACCTATTTCTAATTAGATGAATTTAGCATTCAATAGTATATATTTTTGACTTAAAAAAACCCCAACTCCTGAATACTCTATTACATATTGCTTTACCTGCAAACTTTCCTTGACCACTGAAGCTATTTATTTAAAACTGTACAGAGGCATTTAGGTCAAAGTCAGTACTAATCATAAGCTAAACAGAATTATTCCCCTTTGTTAAATAGAAAATTGCTTCAGAAAGTATTTAACATAAGATATATCCAGTGCATGATTTGCCTATAACTTACATTCATTTGTATATTCACTTTATGTTGCTGCAC